GCCATCTCATCCAGTACTCACCATGGAGGTGCCAACATGCAATGCTGGCAGTGAGAAAATCCAGGAGCTCCCTGGCATTAGTAGCATGGTTCTCTAACCCCTCACACTCAGGCTGGTGCAGAAAACCAAGATTCCTTCTTCTGTTCCACTCTTCCTAAATCTACCCGCTAACCACCCTTTGCCAGGGATTCCACAGGCCCACTCCATTACCTACTTGTCATTTATTCAAGCAATATTTATTGAACAACTACTACATGTCCAGCATTGTCCTAGGGTTACAATGATGCTCACTAGCTAGTGAAAGAAACAGACAATAAAAGCTACAATTTCATATATAAATGAGTACCTGTGCTCCACATGCCTCCCCAAGGAAGACACCTAGAGAAAGATGTTAAAGGGGTCCTTAGGAATTTGGCCAGCTAGAGCATCTAGTGGAGAGTTGGAGGGGGTGTGTGTGTGTGCACAGACAGTATTGAGAGATGAGGCTAGAGAAGTAAGCAAGAGCCTTGAAAGCCTCAACAGACAGCGTGCCTTTGCCTTGAGGACAAGGGGAAGCCTTGAAGGGTGTGAAGCAGGGGTATGACACAATCGGCTGCAATTATAAGAATGGAGTAGAATACACAAGACTGGAGTCAAAGAGACTAGTTAAAAGACCTTCATAATAATCCAAGAAGAATATGGTAATCTTAACTAGGGCAGCGAAAATGGGGCTGGAAAGAAGGCAATGACTTTGAGAAACCTCTGGGAGGAAGAATCGACAGTATTTGGTAATTAATTGGTTGTGGCTAGAGAAAGGAATCAAGGACAATTCTCAGGTTTCTGACAGGACTACGGAGTAAATGGTACCAGTCATAATCTGAGGGAATGTTGGAGGTCTAGTGTTGAGAGAATGATAACCCCTGAGCTTTGAGGGGCCTGTGGACATCTAGGTGGGGATACATAATAGTTAGCTGGATATGAACCTGGAGTTCAGATGGCAGATGGAGCAGTGTCTTTTCTCCAGTGGGATCTCTGCTGCCATGTCAGTTTCCATTTCTCAGTTCCAGAAAAAGATTAGAAGACATCAGCAGACAGAGGACAGGTGAAGCTATGGCAAAAGATGAAATCACTCTGGTAAGTGTGAGTGTGCAGAATAAAACAAAACAAAACAAAACAAAACAAAACAGCTAGGACAGAGATCAAAGAAACGTTAGTATTTAAAAAATACAAAATTTAAGAAAGAAGGAGTATCTGTAAGACACTGTGAAGGAAAATCCAGAGAAAAAGGAGACATAAGGAAAGTAAAGATAAAGAGCCTTTCAAGAAGGATGAAGTGGTCAACTCTGATGCATGATGCCGAGAGGGCCCAGTGTTTCAGACATCGTCTATATCCTACACACACACAGGATAGTCCCTGCCCCATAGTCTCTCCCAAGTGTGTGGGTCCATCACTATGGGACTTCACTCCACGTGACTGCAGTCTCTGCCTTCAATCGTCTTGGCCATTTGACTGCAGCTCAGAGGGTACCCTCAGTAGTCCCCATCGAGTGCATGCCCCCCAAATAAAGCTCTGGTCTTACCCTTAATCTGGGCTAGTATCTTTTGATCTCCAGGCTTCCTAAAGGCTGAAGGGCTCCAAGTCCACATCTGCACAACGTCAACACAGGGTGTTATACGCACACCTCCAGAGGAAGGCAGTCAGCATTCACACATTCAACCTCCAGTGGGAGGAAATCCTATTCTAGAGCTGAGGCTGAGCTAGATGAGGGTCCTCTCAACAGACTCTGCGCAGGCCCTGGACCCTTTATCAGAGCAGAGTCTGATTGTCCTCCTCCTCTCCAAAGGGCCACTTCCCAGACTGCACTGAGGGCCAGGTCTTCCCTCGGGTCAGCTCTTCCCTACCCCCTCTATTTCCTCCTCTAGCCCCTATCTTTCTTTCTTCCTGATCTGCCCCTCTTCTCAGACTCACCGGCCACTGGGAAAGACTCTGGTTTAGCTTCTCAGCCACTCTGTGCGGTTCAGCTGGTGAATCCAGTTCAAGCTAAAATCTGAGTTCTTCAAGGATGCCAACCCATGCAGGTGTCACTCCTCACTCGGCACCAGCCCCCCCTCCCACCACACTAAAAGATGGAACCCCTTCAGAGAGACATTCCTGCCTGGGTAAGGAGAGAAGAGAAAATGGGTGAAAGAACATTAAACCCCATGAGGGGCTTCAAGAAACACCTGGTGAGGCAAAGCAAAGGTAGGTCAGGTAGGGAAGGCAAGGTGACCGAGGGCGAAAGGCAGAACCTAAGTATCTTAAGCAAGCTTAGAAAGAAAATTAAATCCACACTTCCTATATTAAAACCCACCTAAGCAGGATCTGTGACTATAGCATCAAAGCCCACGTAAACCTGGAGAATCAACTCATCCAGCTTTGATAAAAAATAGACACAAAATGATTTTGTCTGGAAGGAAGCAAGATTTCTTTTCTCCAGTGAGATTTCTGCCACCACTTCAGTCCCCATTTCTCAGTGCCTCCCTCGCTAATCAGGCCCTTTCCAACAAAAGTGATGTGAAGCTGGCTGGGGGACGAGGGGGGGCGAGGGGAAAAGGAGAAGGCAGCAGTGAGGAGCCACGGCTCTGGGAATCTAGAGTGGGAAATGAAAATATTTGCTGAATTCCTTAGACTTAGTTAAATTGGAAAATGGATGTCAAAACAGAAGTAAACCACACACTAACAAGTTGTGGGTGTCACTTTAACACCACCCTTGTCAGGCTCATCAGCAGCCTTTACCAGGCGCATGAAAAGGTGATGGCTCTGACGAGAGCCATCTGACGAGAGGTTCCGGGAACACCGATAAGCTGTGCGCTGTCACGCAGCGCTACTTAGGTTTCCTCTCTGGCTGTTTTTATTTTGTTACACATTTAATTAAGAGCCTTCCCAGCAGTTATGCGGAGTCCTGCTTCTAACAGGCGGCCACAGAGCTCCCCTCCCCCTGCTCCTGCCACCTGACATCTGCGTCCCCCTGCACACTCTGTCAGAGCCTCACTGACTTGCCCAGCCCGTTTTCAGTTTTGGAAGCTACAACATCTTAGAATCCATTTCTGTCTAGCTATGAGTCTACCAATTTGGGCCGCAGTTATTAATTTCGTTTTGTGCTTTTCATCTACGACAGGGAGATACCACCTCCTACCGGAGAAGACAGGAGGACTAAATGAGATATGGTGTGAGCTCATTAAAATTTGGTTCCTTTCATATCTGCCTGGATTCTGCAACCCAGCCCCTCCTCTCGATTACATCTCTTCTTGATTACATCATTTCTTGTAATCAAGATGCAAAAGCAGCTTTCTGAGTCACCAGAATCTGCACGGCCCACTATGCCAAGGGCTGAACTAGTGCCGCAGGCTGGGATAGGCCAGACTCCACGCTTAGGAGGCCCAGCCTGACAGTCCCCAGCCTCATGCACAGGAATATTATCAGATACACACACACAGGTACGTGCCAGGCACAGTTAACACAAAAGATTCTAAAATGCAAGTGCTCGGGACATGAACACACCAGAGGGAAAACCACTGGGGCAGTGGGCGTCATGGGAGGCTATCCGGAGGAAGTGGGTTTCTGGCCTGGGCCACATGAGCCCTAGGACGCTGGGTATCAGCCTGTACCCTGCCCCACCCCAAAGAGTTTCTATGCTGTGGAACTCCACACAAGTCCCTTCTCTGTTACAAGTGCTCAGAGCTGCCCAGGACACCATAACCAAGAACAGCCTTTCTCCTCCTTAGCTTCCCCCATGGAACCCTCCTCTGATTCAGGTCTGCCCAGCCTGTATAATTTCCCTGACACATGAGTGTCATCTGGGAGCGCAGAGATCCTCTGGAGCTGTGCGTGCAAACCTAGAGGTGTGCAACCAATGTATGTACACGACCCAAGGGATGCGGATGAGGTGTGTGGGCGTTTTTGTGAGCTGGACTTGTTTTTCCTGTCTTTCCTAGAGAGTTGGTGTCCAATTGCAGGCTTGACACCTAGCTGGGTGAATAACTTCACCTCAATGCCCAGCATCCGAAGGGCATAAAAAGGACCATGGTGAGAACACAATGCCTGATTTGATAGGAGATGTAACTCTAGAACTGCTACACCCCACCCTCCACCAACACCCCACCCTATGCTCAAAAGTGCGTGCGCGCGCGCGCGCGCGCGCGCGCACACACACACACAATGCTTGCTGCCGCCTTCAGTCACAAAGAACACAGAGGTATCGATTCTATCCATCCTCAGCAAACAGTGCCCCCACCACCTCCACCCCCCTTTAGTTCCCTGGGGGCTGTCTGAAGCCAGGTATCCATGAGGATAGACAAGAGGCAGAAGTGTCGACCCAGCAAAGGAACCAGTTCTATCTTCTATAACGGGGGCAGAATCAGGAGACAAAGAAGAAAAGGCAGTATGGACAAAGGAGGAAAGAGGAGGCTGGTGACTTGGGCAGCTTTTTAGAAGCTAGACTCTCAGATGTATCCCAGATAAGAGGGTAGCACAGTATAACGGTTAAGAGAAAGGACCCTGAGACAGATTGCATGGATTTGAATCCTGGCTCTGTGTGTTCTTGGGCAAGTTACTTAACCTCTCTGTACCCTAATTTCCTCATCTGTAAAATAGAAATAATAAGAGTACCTAGGATTATAAAATGAGTTACTATTTCCAAAGCACTTAGAATAATAAAAAATAAAGACCTTATTTTAACTCCTTCCTTCTAGGGCAATGACATATAGTCCTGCAACTGAAGGGCTGTATTGAACATTGAGACCAGGCAAAGGCGGGAAGACCCCAACAATAGCTGTCCCAGTAGGGTCCTTAATCTGTCCATTCCCTGCCCCAAGGGCAGAAGGCAGGACTCCCAACCCTCTTCTCACCCTGGCAGCCCCGAAGGACCAGGGATTCCCTGACCCAGCTGCCCCGTAGGCTTGAACATTTAAACCCGTGAAAGGCAAGACCTGGTCCCACAGACCCCAAGCCCTGCCAGCAAAACAGCCCTTCTCATACTCACATGACTTTTAAGTCCCAGTCTCCACAGGTGACAAAAATTGACTTGACGTTTGGATCTAAGAGGCCTTCCTTCGCCATCCACTCATCGACCCTCTGAAAAGTACACAACAAGAACAGATGAGATTTTCCTTTTATTTTCCCTGAGTCTGTGAAGAGCCACAACAGTGAAACGCAGATAAGCTGCTTGTAATCAGAGCAGGAGAAAATTGTAATCTTATCCGGCCATGGCTCCGTTCTGGGCTCTCAGCCTTAGCTCAGAACTATGGAGGCACTTGCAGGAAGATCCTACAAACCAAAGTGTTGGGGGGAGGGAACCCCTCCACATCCCCGTTAACTGGCAGCCCACCCCAGACAGGATAAGGACAGATCCCAGTAGGTCAGTCCGAACACCTCTGGTTCTCAAACAAAGGCACAGCCCGGCACAGACATAGGCTGTCCTGAGCCATGAGACTATGCTGGAAGGAGGGACTCCAATCCACAGGTTTATTCACTCACTTATTCATTTCACCCTCCCACCAAATGTTTATTAACCAAACTTATGAATTTGGTTGTTCCCAAATGAAAGTGAAGTTCATTTCTACCATGGGTCTAGAAAAAGAAGCCCCTTTGCTGGGTGGGAGCCCCAACCTGACACCTGGGATGGCACTGCCTGCTCCAGTCACTAAAAGCTCATAACTGGCCCCACATTTTACATTTCTCCTCTCCTGGTTGAGGATTCAAATCCAGCAGGTTCTTTTGAAGGCTGAGCTCAATTCCTAGACAGGGAAAGAAATCTCCCCAGATATGCTTTAAGTCTATCTTTCCTTTCATCCCTTTGATGGGTTTTATTATTTGCACTCACACTGGCAGTACAAATGCTCAAATCAGTATATAACAAGAGAATTATCATGAAGAATTCATGGAGCATTGCCTATCTTTCAGACTATCCCAGGGGTGGGGCAGGAGAGCAGCAGATCACACCACTGCTCCACTCACACAAGAGGATTGTTTTGGTGGGTTTTTTTGTTGTTTTTCTTAAAGATTTTATTGGGGAATTGGGGAAGGGGAACAGCCAAGTTGTTGTCCTACAATCTTAGTTGTGGAGGGCGCAGCTAGCTCAGCTCCAAGTCCAGTTACCATCCGGCTGCCCGTCAGCAGCTCGCGGCCGCTCAGTTCAAGATGCCGTGTTCAATCTTAGTTGCAGGTGGGCATAGCCCACCATCCCATGCGGGAGCCGAACCGGCAACCTTGTTGTTAGGAACATGTGCTCTCACCAGGTGAGCCCTGTTGGCAGCTCAGCTCGGGCGCAGCTCACTGGCCCATGTGGGAATCAAACTGGCGACGCTGTTGCTCAGAGCTTGTGCTCTTAACGAACTGAGTCACTCGGCCGGCCCAAGAGGATTGTTTTTAAAGGCTATATCACACAGTGGTTAGAAACGCAG